CCCATACATCCGCCATCGTCCCAATAACAGAGTTGAATATCCTGAGGGGTTTGATATATGTGTCCTGGAAAGTGTCTGCAGTATCGAGAGCGTTGATGATGCATTTTGGCCTGCGGACGCCACAGTTCTCGCAGGTCCCGAAAGTGTATTCATCTGATCTGCAGCATCATGGGCATCTCCAAGTGCCGATCGGGGATCAGCATCTTGTTCCACACCAGAAGCAGAAGGGGCATCCTGAACATACGAGACCACGAGAATTTAAAGATAATGAAGGTTAAGGGTGAGTTCGAGTACCTACCTCGATATTCGGAGTCGATGAAGAACCTTCAAGATCGGCGTTCGGGAGAACACTTGGGGAATCCTTTGAACGCTTCTGTACAATCCTCAGCCTTATTCCAGGAAACACAGGATCCTCGTCGACTCACAAACATCTTTTTAGTCACGCCATCCTTGACTTCCCCCCAAACCTGACGGATTTTTCCACGGCGTCGGCCCTGGACGAATGACGCATCAGAGTCAGCGTTTCAATAGTAATGAGTTTCATAAACAAGCATGAGCGACGTACCGAGCTTTCACTAGCTATTGCTCCACTAGACCTGGGGGCTTCTGGAGGCGGAACTGACTTCGAACGCCTCGACTGATTGCCTTTGCCCATTGTAAAGAGTTGACGGTTGTGTATCAGTCTGAGCGAAGTACAAGTTAGTAAGGTGCACGGAAAGTGGGTTGGTTCCACGTTGGTGAAAACAACAGGTCACAGCCTTGACCGCAAGCCTCGAGGCAATGTCACTGTCTGTCACTGCAGTGTTGACTTCAATGGTGCCAGGCGCTACAGAATTGTCGCGAATTAAACGTTCTGCTGGTCTGTACCTGAAACGTTTAAAAGGAGGTGTACTTGGAGTCTGGCCGAATAATTTGAAGAAGACTAGCGGCGTTTGGGCAGCGTTGAACGTCAGCTTGACATTAGCTTGGTATTACTAGTATACCGTCTCCGATGCACACCGTGAGGGAACAAACAACGCTTCCCATTTACGCCTTTGTAGTGTCTCTTGCATCTCGCTTCGTAAGGTGTTTCTCAGCGGCGAAGCACGACAATTGTCTCTGCTCTGGTTTGCTCCTCGGGCCTGATAACAAGTCTCAGAAAACCCCGTTCAATGTTCATGGCGATCTCTCAGTCCCACCTTCTTCCACTTTGCTGGCTTGTGGAGCACGTCATATTGATCGTCTTCATCAACTCATCCTCATATTGGTTTACGCGGTAGATTTTAGGATCCTGCGGTCTTTCGTCTACGTATGTGAAGTACTTGTCTGCGCTGCGCTGGACTGCGCGTCCCCTGAATTCATGGAGATGAAAACAGCGGTACAAGACGAATACAACTAGTGACGATATATGGTCGAACCTGCAGTCATCTTCTTCACTACCATCCATCACTATTGACGGCGCTATGATATACCTTCGATTCCGTGCTGATCTACGCGACTGCCTCACGGCGTCGTGAGCTCAGTACCTATTTCGCTATTTTGTATCAAACATCCAAGGGAAAAGACCCTACCATCTCTTGCAGGGGCACGTCATGAAACCCGACCGAGCACACCCGCAAGCCCAGAGTCGCAGTCGTAAGTCTCCAAGCAGATGTCTGCTCGCCGTATGATGCTGCGAGATCCAGGGAGAGTAGTAAAGTGCCAAGCGGGGCCACAGAGGATGTTGGACTCGTAGAGCACGTCGGGTCAGCTAGCGCACGAGGAAAAGTGCATGGTTTGAAGATAGAGATCAGGAGGCTGCAGCACCCAGCCTCTTCTCGTCGATGAAGCAAGGGCTCGGCTTCAACACTATGAGACAACATAAAGCAAATCAACGGCAACGAAACACAGGGACAGGACACGATCAAGGGGTTATCACAAAGCTGCGATTTTGCACGACATGATCAAAACAATGGACCAGGTATCTGAACCATCGCGGTAATCGATAGCCACGTAAGTTGGGAAATCAAAACGAGCACAATTTGAAAACCGCAACAGATAATCCAGCTTTGGCTTGCTGGAGCATGAACTGAATCAGCGTGTATCGTTATAGTTGATCATCTTGATCTTGTACGCAGTGTACGTTTGAACTTGTTGGAGAGAGAGAGAAATTCTATATTATATACCGCAACAAACAAAGTGAGCTGTTAAGACGCGGTGCCCTGTTAGGGCTGTGCTGGGGAGTGTTGTAACAGGGTGAGGGATGTAGGTATAGTACGAATAGCCAAGCGGTCCGCGTTTGATGAGTTTTGGTGTGCGTGTGGGCTCGTTTGGTGTCCAGGCTTAGTATAATATGATACACTTTCTCTCCTTCCTCCTCCTTCTGATCTCTCCTCTCCTCCTTCCCTCGTCACTTCCTTCTTGCCCTTACTAGGCTTCTGTCCCTCTCCTTTCTTCCCAGTCTCCTTCTCGTTCCAGTGCGACCTTCTTGAATGTTGGATTCTTGAATAAACTTTGCTAGTGCCTTTATGCCCTTCTCCGTACCCAAAATTTCGTTGAGTATGATGTTGTGTGATACCTCACGCAGATGGATGCGTTGTCGCGCAAATAGTGGGCAGTCACGTATGATATGTTCTCGTGTTTGACGTGGTTCTCCACATGGGCAAGGGTGGGTTCGGTTGGAACGAATGCAGCGTAGTATTCTCCCATGAATCCGTGTCCTGTGCGGCATTGTATAAGACGGCCGTATACTTCTCGAGGAGTGTGAGTGAAATGTTGGCGGGGTTTGAGCGTTGGTGGAGTCGATTTGCGAGAGCGAAGCGTCCAGTCTGTGCTGCCACGTCTCTATTCCAACTCTCTGTCCATTTCTGCAAGATCCCTTCCTTGTTTCTTCTTCTTCTTTTTCTTTCTCTTCTTCTCTTCGGGCGCATTTGCATAGGTCGAGTGGTACGAGTCGTTACGACGTCCGTGGCTTCTTTTGCAAGCTCGTCGGCACGTTTCGTTGCCGATGATGTTGTGATGTCCCTGGGATCCATGCAATTTGGACATGATGGAGGGGGAATGTGGTTAGGTATTCTTCGATCGAGCGTCTGATCTGTAATGCAATGTATTGTGAGGGTCCGGGTGCAGCTGCATATGCAGCCTGCACCACAGAGTTGTTATCGACGTAGAAATGTAAATGGGTCACCTGGGAATTTTGCGCGAAGCTGATAGCTCGCGATATTGCTCGAAGGAGCGCTACCATCTCTGCATCATACACCTCTGCTTTGGGACCCATTCCTTCCTGACCCCAGAAGACTTCTCTTCCTCTGTGATAGCCGCCCATCCTGCTCCAGCTCTTTCCTCCTCTCTGACTGATTGTTTCGATCCGTCTGAGTAAACGAGAAGGTGCGTGTCCTCCGTTCGTAGATTACGAGCGGTTTGTTATGTGCGCTTTGGCAGCTTCTTTCTTGCCTCCTCTTTGCTTGTCCGAAGATCGTTAGGCGGCCGCGGTACGTTTCCTTCGTGTTTGCCCAAGGTGGCAGCGCAAATGTTGATGCGTTCCGCGTTCGGGGATGCTCGTTTTGACAGACAGGTGAGTCTGGTCGATTGTGGTGGTTTGCGGCTGCGAGGACGGTATTTGTCGGTGGGAAGAGCGGGTGGGGGGTCAGCGAGGTTAAATTGTCGCCAGGGTTGATCAAGTCTCTGTAGGATTGGGTTGAACGAGGGGAGTTTGAGTAGTCGAGTGGCGGCGTTATCGTTTGCGTGTTCGAGGAAGAGGTTGATGGGGGGGATTGATGTCTCTATTTCTAGGGCCTTTATTGGGGTGGTTCGGAAAGCGGCACAGATATGTCTAAGGGATTTGTTTTGGACGCGGGTAAGCATGTTTGCATGGGTTTTCACGCCCGTCCACCAAACGGGGCTTGCGTATGTCATTACACTGCGGACACAAGCCGAGTATACAGTTCTCAATAGTGATTGCGAGAGACCTCTTACCGTATTTGCAAGCATTTGTAGTCCTTGGGCGATATTTTCCGCTTTGCCTGCCAGTTCACATACATTCCTGCGAAAAGAGAGTTTAGAGTCGAAATATATACCAAGCCATTTGATACAGTCACGGGGGTTAATTGTCACCTGTCCTTCGTCACTAGGCAGCAGGATAGGTGGTCGATCCGGTGCGCGACGCCATGTGAAATGGATGAGCTCAGATTTGTCAATTTCCGCCATCAGTCCAGCTTCGCGAAGCCAATTGTTCACAAAAATGAACTCCTCCTGGAGTATTGCGACATTGTTCTCCAAGGATGGAGAGGAGACATATAAGTTTCCGTCGTCGATGTAGCATGCTAATGTGGTCGGTGTGGCTTTGTCTGGGCGTAATTCACGAGCTCGAGTTTTCGCATTGTAGGCTTCGTTTAGTGGGCTTGTGCAGATAATCGAAAGGGCCGGTGATATTGGGGATCCTTGAGGTATACCGTTTTCGACTGGTTCCGATGGTGACAGTACTCCGTCCAGGCAGATTGCTGCTTGTCGTTCGCTGAGGAAGGATTTCACCCACTTTACCATAGGGAGCGGTAGGTGCTTGTCCCGAAGTATTCGGAGTAGCCGTGTATGATTGACGAAGTCGAAGTATCCTTTGATGTCGAATGTGATGCACGACGTGACAAGTCCGTGATTACGGGCTGCTTCGATATCATGAACGAATGATAGGGCTGCGTCGACTGTGGAGCTTCCTGGGCGACCTCCGAACTGTGAAGAAGGTACCAGCAGATATTTTGCTGTGATATATGCTAATCTACTTGCCTGTACGCTTTCGAGGACTTTTCCAAGACATTCCTCTAGCTGGATTAGTCTATAGGCTCTCGGGTTCGAATAGTCTGGTTTTCGGGGCTTGCGCAGGGCTACTGCGATTGTGCGTCGCCAGGCGATGGGATGGTAGCCTACATTTGCGCAGCGTGAGATTAGTAAGTAGATATATTCCGATGCAACCTCCCAGGCCCATCGGAGAGCCATGTAGTTGATTTGGCTGGGTCCAGGAGCTTTTTTGCGATTTGGTCGGTATATACCATTCTTCACTTCGGCATATGTTATGGGTTCCCATGGGATGTCATCCGGGAGGTCCTGTTCTAAATCTGGTGCAGCTAAGTCTAGATTCGGGGGCGGTTGGAACAGTTCACCTCGTAGTGTAGCACACTTTTCCTCATGTGTTATTGCCATGTTTTGACCGTTGTTTCGTCTGAGTGGTGGCGTGGGGTAGTTTCTTATCCCTTTGGGCCATCGAGTGAAATTCCAGACGTCATCGGGAGTGGCTTTTCCCAGAGTCTCGTTTGCCCACTGTCGTTTAGCAAGGCGTGTCTTCCGTTTGAACTGATTGCGTAGTTGGCGGATCTGTTGGATAAGGTCGTGGTCAGCAAAACCTGTATCGATGAGACAGCTTTGGCTTGCTGGAGCATGAACTGAATCAGCGTGTATCGTTATAGTTGATCATCTTGATCTTGTACGCAGTGTACGTTTGAACTTGTTGGAAGTTGGCTTGAAAGTTCAAAGTTGAAACTTTGGAAATCGGAGTCGGAGTTAGAAAAATGTCTCATCACCGTCACCCACGACGACGAACACCATAAACTCATCGTCCTCAACAACTACCCCCTCTAGCAATAGACACTATGCGCCAGTCCGTCGCACCGAGTCGCATCTCACATGCCGCATCCCTAGCATCGCAGGCCAATAATGCATCCGCAATATCACGTTTGCAGGAGAAAAAGAAAGAATTCGAGGCCGTTGCTGCGCTTGAACGTGCTAGCGCTCTCTTCCTGAAACGCATAGAAGGTCTCGCAGATGACTGCGAGGTTATGGCTGATGCTGGCCAAGGTATACATTCTCAAGTGATCTTCGATGTCTATCATTGATCTATTTTAACAGTACATGGTCAGGTGCTCGAGCAGTGGCCTCTCATGTTCCAAACGTTGAGTCTATTCTGTGAGTAATGTTCAATCTATATGAGCTTGCGATTTTAAACTGATCATCCTGCAGTAAATAGCCGTGAACAGCACCCGGCGGACTCCAGTGATGACACCACACCACTTACTGGAGAACGGCTTGTCCGTATTCCAGTCGACGAACTTCAGACTGATGTGTCGAAGCAGTCGTGACCACGCATCACCGACGCCGCGTTTATTCCACTTTCGACAGCGCACACATACCTGATGTTTTGCACCCGACTTCGCGCCGCATCTACCCCTACCACCCCTGCACTTTTCCCAGAGACATCGGAACACGCCTATTCCCATCTGCGATGACTTCGGTATAGTTGGCAAGGACAGGTCCATGCGCAATCCATGCTAGCGAATTTTCACTTCACTTGCGATGGTGAAGCCAGTTTATCTTTGGGACGCGCGTTTCTAGACGCGGCGGTGCCTAACATAGGGGTAGTATGATAGCTACTATCGCAGAAAAGATGGTCGACGTGGCAGATTTCGAGCATACAACATGTTCCTTGGTGATCAGTTTCATTCTGTCCATTCTACTCAACATAGTTTCATGTACTTGTAGAAGCCGTTCACTGAGAATTCAATGTACGGCCGGTCGAGTGGTCCGCACTTACATCAACACAGGATTGATACCCAGCCCGATATGTAAGATCACTCTGAGGGCGATGTACTATACGCAACAGCAATGACAATCACCCAATGCTCAAGCCTTGCCAGCGGCAGCAGCATTCTTTTTCTGTTCCTTTAGCTTCTCAATCCGCTGCAAAGAGTCAACAAGCATCAGCACATACAACCTCTCCATTCCAAGCAAACAAATAACACTCACCAAACGCCTCTCCTCCTTCCTCCTCGCCATCTCTGCTGCCTTCTCCTCCTTAGACAAACCAGCCATGTTGGTAGGCTGCGCGGAGTCAGCAGTATTTGGAAGAGGGTCGAGGGGATGATACGGGTGTCGATCTAGCGCTTGAAGCAGGGGAGAATGCTGGTACGATGGACCTGCGGGGTTGTGGTGAGAGCGCACGTGAGATTTGGGAGGGTGGGCGATGTCCATGGATCAGGCGAGCGACTCGTAGATCGAGAAGCTGATGCCATCGCGCCCCATTCATCGATAGCTACACGATAGATCAGCAGGAAAAATCACAGGAAAGTAAACGATACCTACGCGGAGAACTGGCTCGTAATGATATGCCAAATCCTAGACCATTGGTTGCAGACATGGGCTTTGGTTCTATAATAGCTGGAGCGCTCTCAAACGCGCCTGAAAAGAAAAATTTAGCTCGGTATGGATCTGGTGATACCGTCAAAAATTAAGAACGTACTCCAATCTCCTTCATCAGCGTTGATATCGATTAAATCGTCGTTCCACAAACGATTACTGCCTTGCCCTGTCTCGTTAGCGGCCTCTTCAGCGAGCTGTGCAGCGAGCGCTGAAGGCGGGGCCTTATTTCCACCCAGCTGTAGACCTTTGCCTCTTGATGGATTCCCTGAGGGAGAAGCAGATGAGGCAGGGGGACGAAATAGAGGACTATTGTGGCCATTGATAGTTGGTGCTGATGTCGATCCGTCAATAGTACTTGTCATTGTTGTTTGCAAATCGGCAGGGGCAAGCTGAGCGTATCTTTCTAAGTCATCAATCTCAAGGGGGGAAATCAAACTCACCTTTTTACCAAGGGACGATACAGCCCACCCTGTGAGAGCGGCTGCTGCGCCCGTCGCTGAATTCACAAGGCCAGCCTGGGTGAATGCACCCGGAAGCCTTGCGGGTAGATCGTTCTCGCCCTCTTCTGTGGATGCTGTTTCCGGCTGCGAACAAAGCAACGTATAAGCAATGCAGATGGGTGATAGACTGCAGATCTACCATAGTCGAAGCGTGAGCTTCTAAACGTTTGATAAAAAGCTCGACGGCTTTGAAGGCCTGGTCACGGACCAACCTATACATTTGAAGTCATCAGCATATATTCAAGGAGCAGGACGAGACCTAGGAACTGACTTTTCCTTATCCAGCGTAGCCCCTACAACAGCGGGGACAACTCTGCCAGCCACGTCCTCCACCTCGAAGCACTCCGCAGTTGCCATGAACGCCATAACTCCCGCCACACGAGCGTGGACAAACTGATCCTTGAGCGCCATGCTGAACGCAGGAACGAGAACTTTACGTTTGGTGTTATACCCGAGTGAAGGACCCAGGCGACCGATAAGGATACAGGTATTCGTGCGGATGGAAGCTTCTGGGTCTGATTGGAGGCGAGCAAGGTGGCGAAGTAGTTCGTTGTTGAGTATGCGGTCGGATAGCTGTAAAGGTCCGTCAGAAACAATTTTTTAAATCCGAAGTCACAGTACCTTGGGAGACAGTAGGACGACAGCACGGACGGTGGCTTCTCGAATGACGGCAACTGTATCAGTGAAGCCAGTTTGCTGCATGAATGAGGGTTAAATGAGCTATCTTTCAACGATGGATGAAAAACGCATACCAGATTCGGCCAAATCTTATCGACGACAGTCTTCTTATCCAGCTTCTCAGCGAAGTCGGGGAGACTATCGAGAAGCGCGATACGTGTGCCGCGGTCAGCACTGGCAAATAGCTTGACCAAAGGAGCAACGATGACCGAGGTATAGTCGTCAGGCGCGACATTCTTGCCGAATTGGAGGACGAGAGGGACGATAGTTGCTGCTGAGGCACCACCGAACTCGAGCGCGGAGACGAGGCAAGGGAGAACGCGGTAGGAGACGAATTCAGGGGGGAAGGAAGAACCGGATTCTTTCAGCGTTCTACACAGCTAAGTCAACGAATATCAACACAAGCCTTAGAAAGAGATACTTACCGTAGCAATGATGCTTTATCAGATTCACTACTCAGAGTAAAACCGTCTAGTCCCGCGCAGACCTTCACGAGCCGATTATGTACGAAAAATCCATGACCTTCCCCATCTGACTCTGTCATCCCGATGTCTAGGAGGTTCTTAGGTGACATCCGTAATTTGGGGTTCGGGTTGAGGAGCTTTTTGAAGGAGGGGAAGACGGACGAGGGTATGGCACCTTTGGAAGAGGGTTGAGGTGGTGGATGAGGCGGCTGAGCAGTTGGTGGAGGAGGGTGGGTGGGATTGAAGACGGAATGTAAAAGCAGGCCGAGGGCATACGCATCCGCAGCTGATATTGGGACGCTGTCATTACACGAATTAGAAAGGCACCTGTATGATGTATAGGTTTCGGTAACCGATGACTCACTCCCTGAGGACGGACCAGCCCTCCTTCTTGACTTCTGGGGGCGCGCAAGCCATAGCGTCTGGCATCAGGCCGCCCATGGTCTGTAATGGGAGTGTTACTATTACTGGGAGGCACAGAAGACGCTTAAGAAAAAAAGACGCACATATATAACAGAAAGATCGTCCTTTGGATTACTCAACACCTCAAAGCCTCCCAACTTCCACTCTCCTGAAGGGGTGATGAAGATGGCATTCGGACGGACATTCCCGTGGGTGGAAGAAGCAGAGTCATTCAGAAACGCAAGAGCTACCTAGGCTCAAATGTAAGTGAGGTCTTAACGCAGACTAAAAGAACAATTCTGACTGAAATCCGGTGTAGTCCCCAAATAAGCCAGTCCTCTCGCTCGCGTGGAACATTGGAGGACGAGTTGGATAACGCGAGAGGAAGAGGGCGGACTCTTTCGGTCATAATGCAAATAGCTGAATCAGACTCTACGACATCGATAAATCTGAGTACATCAGGATGTCGTATGGTGCGCAGCTTTCGGAGGGAGTTTCGGGCGAGAGGTATAGTGGATTTATTGAGCGGGTGAGTGAGATCATACTCAAAGACCGAGACCAGACTGCCATCTTCCTGCCTTGCAGATTAGTTTGGGCACAACTTTGACCCATGATGAGAGTTGCACACCTACCCGTTTCGTAGCGTCGTACAAGGTCCAAAATGTCTCGCAAGAGTAAACCTTGGGTCCCAACGAGAATGGTAGATTTAGCCCCGATTTCTGCACGAGAGTCGAGACCGCAGCAGAGCCAAAACTGCGAAGATAGTCCATGCAATTGATACGTCGAGACTCGAGACCGTCAGGTGCCAGTGACAGAAGGAACGATTGTTTTGCTTCTATAGTCAGCCTGCTAGGCAGACTACGTAGCTAATGCCAGTGGCAGTACAGTACACGCATTGATTCCGCATTACGGAAGTCATTGACAGTTGCTGCTTATGGAGTACCCCTCACGATACGCGTAGTACATTATTCAAATCGTGGCAGATCTATCAATCCATGCGTATAAATAAGCAGTCTACATAGTAGCCTAGGCCAGATCTACAATAGCCAGTACATTCCTTCCTTCTTCACCCCGCTTCCTGTAACACACCCTACCTAGATTGCCATCGAACGCCAGTTTCACATTCCACGTCATCCTTAAAGACGAAGGGAACGACTCTGTCGCTTCGACCTCTTTGATATCGACCCCTGGCCCAACGATGCCTGAACAGGGTTGATCCATACTACTAGCGTCGATCGTAAATCCGTAGAATTCTGTCCCGTCCCTTTCGTTATGTAGAACACAGATACCCCGCGCGTGTCCATCAAACGACGTGGTAAACTTCATGGTATTAGCGTAACCCGGAACGGAGAAAAGATGTTCGGTGGAAAGAGATATATTCCCTAATTTCTGCCCTGGCAGAGGAGGCGACAACGTTATTCGGTGAGCAAAGTATTTCGTCAGGTTAAGTCTCATGCAATGGGTAAGGAATTTGATTTGGGTTTGCCCTGTGATGGCGTTGGTCATGCTGCCGCATAGAAGCGAAACGCGTTCGATATCGAGATAGCAATGTCCTTCGTGGGTGAGTTGAAGGGTGGGTGAGGAGGATCCTGTGGTGGTGTCCGCCTGCGGAAGAGCGAACGCCTGGATGATCGCCCGCGAGTGTCCTCCCTCATCGAGCTGGCTGACAATAGTGAGAGGTGTAAACATTGCGAGAATATGGGTTTCAGTGGCAATGAGACGCTTCAGGTATGTCTCCTGCATGCAAGTTATAGCGAATGTGGGCTCCTAGATTTGATGATGAGAAATTGACAGAAGGTCCGAGTATTGGATACATACAATGATGGAACTTGGCGGCGGAAATCGGTACAGGACGCGGGTATGGCTGTCCACTGCCAAGTTCAAGGTACCAGTCAAATGATCGCTCATGCATACCAAGCGCTGCCCAGCGGACAGCTGCGACATTGCCATTCCGACTATATCGCTTGGTATCACCATGGAAGATTCCAACAGTGGACCGTCAGAAGAGAAGCGAATGGAGAGCAGTTTACTGACAGAGAATTGTTCAGTGGCTGAATGTAAGAGTTGAAGACAACTAACTGTGAGAATGATGCGTTACTGCGAGCGCTTTCCATGATGATAGCATGCATAATAGACCCTCCGTCCGCTGCCTCAGAAGTAGTGCTTTTGAATGATAGAATCTGAGCGCCATCGGTGTGATATACGACGTGACGCAGCCCACGCTCCAGATCGTAGCACATGATGTCGGGGCCACTGATGAGCGGGATGACGAGCCATAAGCCAGACACCACCTCCCAATGATCTCCTTGTAAAGTTGACCACTCGGCTCGAACCAAGTTGCCTTGGATGTTATCGTTAAAGCTTGTTTGTTCCATTTGACGCCGACTTGAGTGCTTTTACGAGGGTGTTTTCTAAGAACTCGCGAGACTGAGAGTCGAGTGGTCCAAGGGGGACGAGGAAGTTTTGCATATTTGTAGGCATCATACCATACAGCCCTATGGAATGTCAAGTCGCGAAGGTCTTTGCAAACCTATATGAATCATTACAAGCAAATGTTCAACATGAAGGATGTGATAAGCAACAAATTCTCACCAGTCGAAGGCAGATAATTTCGCGGACAGAGAGAAACACAGAATACGGTATAAAGCATCGTGTGGAAGACTCGTCAATGTCATCGTGGTTGGTGCTTAAAGTTACCTAGCGCCAAGTCTACGGCAACTCATATCAATACCAGATAACGGACAGGACACGAGCAAGTGGCGGATGCCTATTCGCTACTAGCCTTCTTTCTAGTATAGCTTTTGTCAATCCGTGTGAGCCACCAAGTTCTTGCCAAGTTCTTGCCGTGCGAAACCAGTCTACCTTTCACCTGGCATTAACCATCGAAATATCTCAAGAACAGCTCAAGCTTGGGCTAGGAGGCTTAACTGGAGGTTAGATTGCAAGGCTTCTCGCAGTCCTAAGGTCAGGAAGATTTGAGTTTTAGTGTTTTTTCTTTCTTTTCATTTCCTTTAAAGCTGCCTCTCTCGTTACAAATTCAATCTCTCGCAATCATTCATTCATGTTCCCCAACTTCTGATCAAGTGTCATTCGCAGTTCGTGTGTCAACATGTCGATATGTTATCTGCGCAAGTACTTCGCTTATGACCATTCCCATCCGTATCGTCTTCGCTTCGCTATGCTTACTTTTGTTTTCAAGTTAGATTTCCCTCCATCCAGATGATCGTTTACCTTCAAGTTGCTAT